TGGCAGATGGAACTCGGAGGAGGCCCAATCCATGAGATCTAATTGGTCGCAGGGAGGTAATTGGCAGAAGGCGGCCTCTCAATGAGGGTCGGAACGTGCAATCGCTCTTAAACAGCAAACCCACGTTCCCCCGGGCATAATTTGGCCCTTGGCCTCCATCTTATCTGCCCCCCCCCACCTATAGTAGAGATGGTAAACCGCCCAATGGAAAGGCTTAATGTCCCCCCGGAATTCCAACCTTTCCCAGCACTCCCGACCCGCATCCATTGATTAGCCCTGGCCTGTGCCCTGGTAGACTCCCCCGCAAGCCTGTCTGAGCCATCCGAATTGACCCCCCCCCCCGCCCACCCCTTAAGATTTGATTTTTAAAACCCTGTAAAAAAAACTCCTAAGAAGCCTCTTCTTCGCATGCCATTGGAACTTTGGAACCAGGGCAAAAGTAGTTTTTGGGGGAGGGAGGTCCATCATAACTTCAAACTGTTGCTAAGCAACTGATTGTAAATTGAGGACTATTAGTATTGTCTATATTTTCCAGTTGTCCATTAGATTATGAATGATGAGAGGATGCCAAATGAATATGAATCCCCAGTAAGTAGAAAAGGGACATTGGTGTAAACTGAGTATTATAAGCTGAGGTTACACGATTATGTTCTGCACTAAAAAAAAAATACTCTGAAAAGAGTTATACTATCTCCTAAATCAGTGACTTAACTTATCCTAATAAACAAATTCATTAGCACCAAAAAGGTCATGTCACTTTTTTTACAGCACAAAAATCAATAATAAAATCTAGGGAAACTATATCCCAACGTGTAGGATGGAAGAGGAGCGGTTGGAACAAACTAGCTGACTTATTCAGCCCAGTCTTAGCCCAGCCGTAGGCATGGCAGGATGAAGCATTGACTTCAACATCAGGCGTCACTCTTTCGTTCACATTCTGAGCATTGCTTTGAATACACACTACACGTCCCACAGCTTTATTATCATGGCAAAGTTGCAATATTTATTCGCTGAGAGGAAGAGGAAGATACAAAAGAGCATTATGAAAGAGTGTCCATCAGTCATGAGAAGAAGAATTGGTTGGTGGGGCTCCCTGGCATCTTGGCCTCCTACATATGGGTCTTGTTGTTGCAAACCAATCCAATCCAACACATCTATTGCCTGTTTCTCTGTGTGACTCTTTTGTGGGGAGCTGTTGGGAGAAGGGAGCTTCAAGATCATGGTGGAGGAGATGGCCAGGGAATATCATGTTTAATCTTGCATGAGAGTGCATGCAACAGCTTTTTATATGAACTAGAAACATAGTTGACACAAAAAACGTGGAGAACATGTATGCGCCTGATCTGACATGGGTGGGTGGGTGTCTGAGCCTTCTGCAGGTGCTCCACATTCTTGGTGGGCTGCTCCCTCCAAGAAATACCTCCACTGTTGGAATATGGCTTTTACAGCCCACAGATCTTTACTTGAAAATATAATAGTTTCTTTTGGTCAGGAAGAATAAGGTGAAAGGCCAAAAAAACCCTCCCTTTGTCAAAACCTGCAAGAGAACAGCTCTCAAAGCCAATTCTAGGGCATCAGTTTCCACAGCAAAGATACAGGTGGGTTCTGGATCCCTGAATAGCACTCAAATAGGTACTAATACCACTCTATAAAGTCTTAGTAAGATCATACCTAGTGTACTGCATCCAGTTCTGGTCACCACACTATAAAAAAGATGTTGAGACACTAGAAAAAGTGGAGAAGAGCAACCAGGATAATTAGGGGACTGGAGACTAAAATATATGAAGACCAGTTACAGGAACTGGGCATGGCTAGTCTAGTGAAGAGAAGGACCATGAGATACATGATAGCAGTGTTTCAATATTTGAGGGGCTGCCATAGAGAGGAGGGGGTCAAGCTATTCTCCAAAGCACCCGAAGGCCAGACAAGGAATAATGGATGGAAACTGAACAAGGAGAGATTCAACCTGGAAATAAGGAGGAATTTTCTGACAGTGAGAACAATCAACCAATGGAACAGAAGTTGCCTTTGAAAGTTGTGGGAGCTTCATCACTTGAGACTTTCAAGAAGAGATTGGACTGCCATTTGTCAGAAATGGTGTAGGGTCTCCTGCTTGAGCGGGGCGGGGGGGGGGTTGGACTAGATGACCGATAAGGTCCTTTCCAACTCTCTTAATCTGTTCATTTTTCAGGGCGGTTTCCTCTTGAGTACAGCATTTAAATCTCTTTTTTCAAAAGTTGTTGGTGTCAGGGTGGGTCTTTTGAAAAAAATCAGGATGTCATCTGAATTTTAACAGGAAAGCGGCTGTTAAATTTCCATGACCCTCTTCCATTCAGATCAAATCGTAATCTCCTCTTAAATCCAATTTAGTGAAAATGCCTGCCTTCCGAGAGTGATTCGGCAGATCTGAAATAAGAGGCATTGCATAGTGGTTGCTAATGGTTACAGAATTCAGAAGTCTGTAATTGAGTATAATTCTCAAGGAATTATCTTGCTTTTTTTACAAGAAACATTGGCAGATGCTGGATATGTCGAAGGGTAAACAAATCCTTTCTTCAGATTTTCATCCAGAGACTGTTCTGAAGAGATTAACTCTTTCATAGACAGAGACTACATCTTTTGTGGGGCATCTGGCTTTAGGTTTTAAATTGACACTACAGTCACACACCCAATGAGGAGGTAAGGCAGCTACTGCCTCTTTCCCAAAAACAACAAGAAAAGCAGGTACTTTCCTGGCAAGGGAGGCAATTCAGGCTGGCATAGGAGGAAGAGAAGGAAAAAGAGTAGCATGTTTGTAAATGGGACTGTTGATGCTTGTGAGAGAGGGGAGAAATTGCTTCCTGCATCTAATGGAGAGTTAGATTTTGAATTATAGCCGGTCTATTCTGAGTATAGGAACGTGTAAGGAAAATATGATATAGAGTTGCAAAAATTCTGTATTATAACTTATTTTCAATTTGAGAATGCTACACCTAAAAGAAATTGTCCTTCGATTGACTCAACTAAAAGGGCTTTAGTACAACTCAGCAGAGCCAGCTCGGTGCAGCCAGCTCACCGCTGTCAGCTCAGAATCACCAAGTCACCTCTGCCAATTCACCACTGCCAAGTCACCATAGGACAACAACAGAGGTGAACCATTTTCACACACACACCCCGGCCTGTCTTGGCCACAGTCACTGTTATTCCTGGTCTCATTGGCCAGGAATTCAGCATTGTTGCAGCAGCAGGGAAGAGGGGTGTATGTGAAAATTGGACCCACCCAGTTGCCATGACATTCCTGTCACCCCTGTCCCCGTCCTCTTTGGGACAGACCGTTGGGTTTGGTGGCAGTGGTGGTGACGGTGAGGGGTGTGTGTGTGTGTGTGAAATTGGAAGCCTCCAGCCACCACTGCCATTCTGCACTCTGACCACCAACTTGTTCTCATTCTGGCCAGCCATGGTGAATTGTCCCAACAGCAAGTTGGCCGTGTGGAGTTGTCCTGCAGTGAATTGCTGGTGGCAAACTGATGCTGGTGAGTTGGCCACATCAAGCTGACCATTCAGAGTTGTCCTATTCTGTCTAACAAAGGTTCTGTAATGACTACATGGGAAACACAAACTAACACACTGCAGTTTCATCTATGAAGTTAGTTGTTATGCCAAAGTCTTTGTGCAGGAAATTGTATTTCTGCATCAGCAAAAAAACAACAGGACTAATATCTGCTGTTATTTGCCATGTGAACTCAATTTTTTTTTCAGGGGTCTTGTTAAGCATCTGTCTTTCTGATGAGAGAGAAAGACTTTCAAGATATTTTTCAGACCTTTAAGAGGACAAGATCAATTAATTGAGCACAGAAGATATTCCAGCAATTTGTATAATACTGTAATAGGGTAAAATAGCAGACTCTTGAAAGCCTCTCGGTTTCTCTGTGCCCCATCTTACACAAACAAGATCAAGTGCAGCTATTTTGAGAGTGGGGTTATTTATGCTCTCCTATTTTCTCAGGACTTTTCTGAAAGTTCCTTAGTGGTTTAGTCATTATTTCTCCATTCTCAAGGCCAAGTTTACATTTCTTCTTAATAGAAACTCAATATTATGAGTTTTCAGAGCAGGTATCATTTAAAGAAATTTCCCACATTGAGGATATATCCAGAAATTAGCTCTCAGCTAGGGTCATACAGGAATAAGTAACACAAACTCACAATTCTCCTTCCATCTTGGGGTAATGCTTCGTATATGTGCTTTCTGCAAATAAGGAGTCTAGGTGTGCATATGTGTAAAGTCAGTACTAACATCCTAGTGGTATAAACAGACATAGCTCCATTACCGATTGCAGTAAAACAAAGCAATACATGAATTCTCCAAGGATCAAGAGGGCAGAATGGTATCCCAACAACACCCTAGCTAGGAGGCAAGTCCATCAATTAAGCTAGTAATCTAATACACCTGTTTGTACTGTGCAAAATGAGACAGAATTCTTGAGAAAAAATCTTGGCAGCCTTGGGACGTGTCAGAGGCTCTGAATTCAATGCAGAAAGTGTCATTCAGAGGAGAGGAATGAAGGATATACATCTTATTTTCACCTACATTGGCTTGATCATTTTCCCAGTGAGGGTTGTGTACACCCTTCACATTTCATACTTTATGATCCTAAGAGTTGTTATAGGGAGGGGGGAGGGGCTGTTAGTACCTGGAAAGAACTGGCTCTGGGTAGTTATTTTCTCTGAGATTCATGGTGGATGTGATCTCCAGGTTTCAGTAAATGGGCAAGCGACTCCAATGTTGCCTTAGCCTAGGTAAAAGTGGCCTAACATTCTTGGATTAAAGATAATGTGGGCCCATCTTCCAGATACAACTAGAGGCCATTCCATGCCAGAGACACAAACCTCTCTTGGAATATGACTGACTGAGGGTCATGGGAAAATAATCAGGGTGATATCAAAGCTCAGAGGTATCTAAAAATTATGAAAGAACATGGCAAGCTTTAACTATAAATTAAATACAATTAACAGAAAGAAAGAAGGATAGGCTCCTCTTTCCTTTGAACAGTCCCTAAAAGGACATTGAGCATAGGAGAAATGGGTCATACACCTTGATTAAAATCCCAAGCAGCGTGTTAAAAGAAGCTGGGGAAGTAGTTAGCAATTTGGGGCTATTGCAGGAAGTGAGAGTAGCAGCAAGAAGCAAATGCCCAAGGAGAAATGGCAAGCAATGGCATTGGGAGACTTGTGTGAGACATGGTGAGGTTGCAATTGGAATGAGGGAGGGCTTTGGACTGAGCAACTGCCAGCTGGAGTGGCAGAGCTGGTCACAGCTGGGATATCTGAGGCCAGTGAGCAGGACACTGTGGGAACTGAATGAATGGGGATCCCATGTGGGGATAATTCGACCCGAGAGACCCATTGCTGTAGCAGGGTTGGTCTTCCTCTGATAAGGGAGCTGGTGGAGGATGGACCTGGTTGTAGAAGAAGAAGAGGAGAGGAGAAGATAATCATATTCTCCTCCTCCTCCTCCTCCCTCCCTCCCTCTCTTCTTTCTTTCTTTCCTTGAGGTTTACAGAGTTAGCACATTGCCCACAACTATGTGTGTCCTTATTTTACTGACCTCAAAAGCATGGAAGGCTGAATCAACTTGAGCCGGTCAGGATCGAACTCCTGGCAATGAACAGAACCAGCCTGCAGTATTGCATTCTAATCACTGCACCACCACGGCTCATGTGGTTAGGAATCCTGAATTCCTAACATCTCATTACTTTTACAAAGATTACTAATTGCTCCAAATGTAATCGTCTAAAGATAGTAGACAATGGGAAATCACATGAAAAATTAGGATTCTGTTTCTTCCTCTCCGTAATTGGACTCTTGTTTGAGCATAAGAACAATTGTCTGTATTTGCATTCAGGTCTCTTCATGGAAATGATATCTCCACGCTCCCTGAAGGTATCTTTGCTGATGTTACCTCCCTCTCTCATCTGTGAGTATCTGTATCATTAATGTAAGCATTTGTTCCTTTTATTCCAAATAGGGTTTTTTAGCATTTTTTGTAGGATGGTGCTTGGTGATACAAAGAAGAAAACACCATTTGTTTACTTTTGTTTGTTCAGCTGTGCAAAGATGCTTAGCACATGTCTTAGGTAATAACTGCCCTGGACAAAGTGCTTCCAGAAATTTTGTAGGTAGCAGTGTTCTTGCTAGTTCTGTAGTGATAAGAATAGATGCATTGCGGCTTGCGGAAATGTGTTGGAAGTTCCTTCTGGCATCTGATATAATCCGTTAGCAGCTTAACTTAATACTCCATTGTGTGCTTACAAGGAAAATTAGCTCTTGAACCCTCTGACTTTCCTCCCAAGAAATTGGAACGTGTGTGAAGTCTTCTGCTGCAATGCAGAAGAATAAAAGACAAAGACTTCTAGACCGAGGCTGGGTTAACACATGACTTAACAAACTGCGATTTATAAATTAGAACTTAGTGTGTGGAGTTCATGAGTTTTTTTCTGGGTTTTTTTCTGGTAATTAGCTAGGATACTTTTCCTGGCTCAGCTCTAAGAATGTATATATCTTTTTAGACATGCTTATAAACACTATCTTTGGAAAATTCTACACACACACACTCAATTTACATTCATTGCATAGTATCTGTAACCTCAGAGTAGGAATGATATGAGCACGCTGCATTTCATTTGAGTCATTTAGCAGATTTAGCATCAAGTATTAAGACATCAAATAAAAAGCTGAAAATAGAGGCTCTTCAAAATGCAACAACGTTGCATTTAAAAACAAATGGAAGTAAAAAAAACCGTGTTATTAATTAGTTCTAGGACCTCTAGAGGCATTTCTGTAGAGTGACCAGGTAAAAGGAAGAGATCTTGTACTTTGAATAATTATTTAGATGTTATTATTCTTTCCGCTGTGCAGAGCAATTGGTGCCAACCCCCTGCATTGTGATTGCCACATACGCTGGCTCTCAAGCTGGGTCAAAACTGGCTACAAAGAACCTGGCATTGCCCGTTGTGCTGGTCCTGCGGATATGGAAGGCAAACTTCTGCTCACAACTCCAGCTAAGAAATTTGAATGCCAGGGTAAGCTACAGAAGCAACAAGGGAAATAAAAGGGCTCCCTAAGTATTTTCAGAAAAATTAGTAGGAAGAACTGCTTCTGAAAATTCTGAAGAACAGCACTGCCTATCACTAAAGAGATTTTGGCTATGTGAACTACAGTTTGTTCTGGCCAGCTGAGCTGCCTGTGGCATGAATGTTACAAATCTAAGACTGTTGAAGTTAATATTGGGCATATGGGGGAAAAGTGAGTCATGGAATTTATTAATATGCACACAGATGTGATGAAGATGCAATGCAGGAAGTAGATTCTTGCCAGAGAAGCCAATAAAACGAACCCAATAGCCTTCAAGGAATCCCCCACATACGCCCATTTATTTGGCAATGGTTCAAAAACACTGAAAAAATGACTTCTGACCTTCCTTTGCACTTAAAACTGGCACAGCAGCCACACAGTCACACGATTGCCATTTGCAAGCGTCTCAGATGGCTTCTGACAAACTATGTCATTGCCGAAGCTGGCAGGTTGCATGTCGTAGTTACATGGTGTCTCACTTAAGAAGCATGCAAAAGATGTAATATAATCAGGTACGGTCATGTGATGCTTCACTTAATGACTGCACACTTAACAACAAATTTTCCGGTCCCTATTGTGGTTGTAAATCGAGAATCACTATATACAGTTCCACGGTTCTGAGGATTATGAAAGACAGATTCTGATGAAAGACCTAAAGCACGGGTGTCAAACTTGTGGCCTCATGCTGCCGTCACGTGATATTTTACAATGTTTTCCCCCTTCACAGAACTGGGGTGGGCGTGGCCTGCACGTGACACAACTGGCCCAGGGACCACCAGTTTGACACTCCTGGTCTAAAGGATGGGCACAGGCATAATAACATTAGCTACATCAAACCTGGTGCCTTATTGATATAATGAGATTCTAATTTCCAGAATCCCTAATTAGCCTCATAACAGGCCTTGAGTCTGAGCCCTTTCCTCTGTGTATGTCACACCACTGTAGAATTCTTTGAAAAGTTTTTTTTTTACTTTTTCCTGTGAAAGGAATTGGGAGGGGGGGGGAACCCTGCTTGCTTTTGCAGAAAATTAAGACTATTAATTTTAACTTTGGCTATGAGATTGAAATGGGCAAATGGTGGGATCTATGGAGTAAGACTATTAAACTTACAATATCTACAGCATTTAAAGAAAACATATACAAAATGGTTTATAGATGGCACTTCCCCCCAACGAGGTTAGCCAAAATGTTTCCTGGGTTATCTCCACTGTGTTGGAAATGTGGAAGAAGGGATGGCACATTCTACCATATTTGGTGGTCTTGTACTGAGGCCATGAAATACTGGAGAAGGATTCAAAAATGGCTTAAAGAGGTTACTGGGGCAAGCATGGAATGGAAACCCGAGAATTTTTTATTAAGCATAAAACCAGAAAACATGAGTAAATCAATATGGCGTTTGAGCCTACATATAATTGTGGCCGCAAGAATAACTTATGCACAATTTTGGAAATCTACTACCATACCATCGGAAGATGCCATAATTAAAAAGATCTATGAATGTGCAGAAATGGACAGAATGACGGGTTGGCTGAGAGACAAAGGAGAAACGGAACATTATCTTAGCTGGAACCTATGGTATATGTGAGCGACAAGGAGAACAGCAGGGACTTAAAACGGAGAAAGTCAAATAGCAGTTGTTAACAATGGGAACTAAAAGTGAACATGGGTATTGTAATAGATCCCTGAATTTTGTAATGAGAAGATGCGGCTTAGAGACTAAACAATGAGGAAGGAAAAAAAAGTTGGGCTGTGAATGACTGTCACCGTGGGGGGGTGAGGGGGGGTTGTATGTTTAAAATTGTATTTCTATTTGTATGTTTTACTCTTTAAAAAAATTGTATAACCAATAAAGATTACTTTTTTTTAAAGGCTATTTTAACATTAGGGCTCAGTATTATGCCTAGGAATAGGTGAATGGGTGTTCTCTTCAGCTATTATCCATTTTTTAATGTATATATCAGAAATAGGTTGCTCCTGGTTTGGCCCAGTTCGGCTGAACCAGTAGTGGCGATGCCGGGAGGCTCCACCCACCCACCCGGACCACAAGCAAACTGGTAGTAAACCGGTTAGCAACCCACCACTGGTATATATATATATATATAGTGTCACAACCCCTGGTAAGCCCCAATTATGGGAGGAAGCTAACTGCTTCCATCATCTGTCAATCGGCTCGTCACAAGAGTCCATCACGACAGAAACCCAATATTTTTACTGTTGCCTTTGTTATATTTGTGTTTTATTTGTGCTGATAAATAAATAAAGGAAGACTAGTATAGATCTATTTCAAGCTATTTAGCTCTCATCAGCTAGCCATATCCTTAAGGATCACAAATTTGTCAGAGAGCCCCATGGTTTCAGCTGATGGGAAAAGGGCAATTCCTTGGAAGAGATTCTGATCAGGAAGCACCCAATCTTTACAATCAGATATAAGAAATGTGTCTTTAGTTATTTCAGGTATATTTCCTTAATCTTATTCATGCAATGTATTTTTCTGTCTATGTAGGGCCTCCCCTACCCACCATCCAGGCCAAGTGTAACCCCTGTATCTCCAATCCCTGCCAAAACAGGGGCAGTTGTCAAAGAGATCCTCTGGGCTCCTATCACTGTGTCTGTCCCAGTGGTTATAAGGTAAGTAGAGTGAAAGGCAGGGTGGTAAACGTCTACATGGGAAATGCTATGTTGTCACAAGTTAATGAAAGATATAAATCCATTCATACAAAATGCTGAGGTTTGCCTTTTTGTGGCTTTGAATGTTGTGCAATACTCTGGATTGTTTTATGTTTCAGTGTAGATAGTCCTCGACTTACAGCAGCTTGTTTGGGGACTGTTCGAAGTTACAACAGCACTGAAAGGGGTGACTTATGATCATTTTTCAGACCTACAGCTCAGGGGTGGGTTGCTGCTGGTTTTAGTACCAGTTCTCAACACACGCACACACTGACTTAAAAATAATTCAATGTCTTTGCGCATGCTCAGAACAATTTACAGTGAACCATTCAGGTGTAGTCACTAAAATCCAAAATAGCGGCGGCCGAGCAGCGGCAAGGGAACCGGTTCAGGGATGTGGCAGGCCAGGGTTGCCACCAGTTTCACGACCCAGGCCTGAATTCCACTACCAGTTTGGCCGAACTGGGCCGAATCGGCAGCAACCCACCTCTGCTACAGCTCTGTTGCAGCATGCCCCATATTCATGTGATCAGAATTCAAATCTTGGCAACTGACTCATATTTATGATGGTTAGGGTATTCCGGGGTATGTATAATCTTTTATGACCCAACAAGAAAAGGCAATAAGGAAACCAGATTCACTCAAAAGCCATGCTACCAACAATGGCAGTGACTCACTTAACAACTGGGGCAATAAAGATTGCAAAATGGGGCAAATTTCATTTAACAATTTGGGGGTCAATTGTGGTCGTAGGTCGAGGCCTTACCTGTATTGTACAAACCCAGAAAGTGAGTCAGTTCGGTAGTGAAGTTAAATACGTTCTGTGAACACAACCAATTGCTCCTTTGACACTGAGGAGGAGAAAAAAAGAAATGGGGAGAGCTATTTCTGGTAACAAAAGTCAGGAAAATTTATATGTAACAAGTTAGTCTTATTTCACTATACATCAGTGTTTCTCAACCTTGGCGACTTTAAGTCCTGTGGACTTCAACTCCCAGAATCCCCCAGGCTGGGGGTCTCTGGGAGTTGAAGTCCACAGGACTTAAAGTCGCCAAGGTTGAGAAACACTGCTATACATAGATGGCTGGTGAGCAAGTAATTGGTTTTCAAAACTTGTATTGGCCAGAAATTTTCTATTTAAAGCAAGGGCCTCCAACCTTGGCAACGTTAAGACTTGTGGACTTCAACTCCCAGAGATCCTCTGAGGGTTGAAGCCCACAAGTCTTAATGTTGCCAAAGTTGGAGGCCCCTGATTTAAAGTGGGATGGTTTCATTTTATTTCCTTATCCCAGGGCAAACACTGTCACCTATCTGTTGATGGCTGCTCTGAGAGACCCTGTGAGAATGGTGGGACCTGCTTGTCTCAAGAAGGAGATGGAGCCAGCTTTAAGTGAGTGGCAGTTCAAGATTTCGGAGTCTCCGCCTTAAAATGGGCGGCGGGGGGGGGAACCTTGGTTAGTTACAATATCTGCCAAGAACCCAGGCATAAACCTATTACAAAATTGCCAGATGTCAAACTAAAATAAATCCAGTTGCATTTTCTCCCTTAAGCCAGAAACAGACCCTGAAAAGTATTGGCAAGTGTTTATTCAGTGTTTAATCGTATATACTTGCATGACTTAGAGGACAGGAGAGGTTTTTGGTACATGGTCTGATTCTGCAGGCAATTTATTTCTGTAACTATGGTTTGGGATTTGGGGGACAAGCCACTGGAATACATGCATCCCAATGGATTGCCAACTGTTTTATTCTTTTGATACACTGAACCTCGGATATGTGCCCTCCTACTCTCCCTCCTCAGAATACAGTGTGGGCGGCTTTCTGGGAAACATACCATAATTAGTAGCTTGAAATAAACTGCAGGTAGCAGAGAAAAAATGGGGCCCTACCTGATCTGTACATCCAATTTGCTAAACCGCTAAATGGCTTTTCATCATATCACCATATCAACATAGCGTCTTTAAAAGCCAGCACATAATGTCCCTTGGGGATAACAAAGATATTTCCTACACATGCCGTTCGGTATTATCCCTTTGTAGAAAGATAGCAAGAAGGGACATGGATGTTTTGATCAAGGGCATCAGAGCTGACAACTCCCTGCCTTTGTTAGACAAGGTCACCATTTTTTTCCTGTCTTTGCTTCTTCCTCTAAAGCCCATGCAAAAGAAATGCAAATGCCACCATATTATGCAACTCGCAATATACACTCCTTTATCTACAATATTCTCCTCTGTTTTACGTAAATGTGCATCTGTTTTCAGGTGTGTCATATATAAATTAGTTTTATTCTATGAATCTCTATTATTACATATGTGGTTCAAATGGGATTGCCTCAAAAGGTACCACATATAGTCCTGAAACACAGCTATGGAGGTTGCTTTGAAAACTTAAGAAATAGTTAAAATAATTATCTACAACTTCCCCTTCATTGAAATAGATTTAAGAAAGTTAACTGAAAAAATAACTCGGGATCAGGATTCTCCCATTTTTGCTTTTCTCTAGTCCTTCCCAAAGGCCCTGCTTTTTCTTTTGGGGGTTAACATCGAAGACCACACTAGGATGCCATTCCATCTGTCCCAGTACTTAAAGCAGCTTTAGCTCCTTCTCAGTTCAGGGCCTTCTAGAGAGATCCAACTAGCTCCTGCAGTTGGAGGCCAAAATGCTTGGTCTATAAGATGGATAATAAGATGAAACACTTGAGAGTTATGGAGATACTGAACCCAGTTTCAAAAAAGAAGTAACATCCCTATTTTTCACCTTTCTTGAAATTTAGATAAGGGTATAAATTCCAGAAAAGCCTAAAAAAAGAAAATGTTTCAAAATATCAAATAGCTCTTGTTTTCTTTATTAATAGATGTACTTGTGTGGATGGATTTGAAGGTCCAAGATGTAATCTGAAGACAAATAGTTGCAACAACAGTTGCAAGAATGGGGGTACATGTGTTAATGGGTCCACTAACCACACATGCTTGTGCCTACCCTTCTATACAGGTATGGCTTCAATTGTAAATTACTGCTTATAATGGGGGTGGGGGTGGGGGTTGCAGAGCTTCTGCTTTTATTTCTGAAGAGAGCAAAATTGTCACAGTATCTAAAGTGATCTTATATGGTGTTAGGAATGGAGAAGTCCATGTCCAGACTACTAATATGATTTTATTATCCATCCCATCTTATAAATTCTCTGTATTATGTTGGATAATTATAATGTTAAATGTATCCTTTTTTTTGGCAAATGTTTGTTTTTAGCTTTTCTTAAGTGCAGAAAACAGTTAGTGAAAAGATAAGCTACTTCACCCTCTTCATGATTAATTCTTCAGAATTGCTATAGACATTGGAGATATTTTCTGTTGGCTATTATCTTGCTATGTTTGACATTTGGAAGAGGAAGGGAAAGGAGTGAGGAGACTTTCTGGCCTAATAGTCAAAATACTTACGTATGATGTGTAGCTCCTTGTCCTTCTGTATGAGTTCAAGAAGTTGAACGGTTTCTGCATACTAGGAAAAAAAACCATCTGTTTATTTTAATGTCACAGAATTTACTTATTCTGCATAGCTATTCTGGAACAAAACAGTGAAAAAAAATGCAAGTCAACCACTTGAATTGGCCAACCTAAAAAGGGATCAGGGATATTTCGAATAACTGAATGTTTCCTTCTTATAGGTCCAAAAGGTGAACAATTCAGGGATATGTGTTTTTGTTCGCTAATGCTATAATGCAAACAGGAATTCTTGGGGTCAAATATGGGCTTTCCTCCTTTCTTTGGGGCAAAATGAGGCAAATTCAAGGAGAGACGCTATTTGTTATGCTTCTGCCTTATCACTGTATTTTTCCCACAGGGACATATTGTGAGCAGTCGGTGGATGTATGTTCCCCTGAGCTCAGCCCCTGCCAGCATAATGCCATATGTAGAGTCTCTCTTGATGGACCCAAGTGAGTGAAGGAAAGAGTGGAGTTTGGGGAGAAGAAAAAGATGTAAAACCAAGTGGAGGACATGAATGTGTACCAAATAATATGTAGTGGAGTTAGAAAAAACACAGTTATATTCATTGCCTCAGCCATTTCCTGGTTGGTGCAGCTTGCTGCTCTTTTGAGTACTAGCCAGGCCACCTCAGTGACTGGATCTCATTCCTGTTCCTGCCTCCAGGTGTGAATGTATGCCTGGCTATGTGGGAGATAATTGCAGTGTGGACTACAATGACTGCCTAGACCACCAATGCCAGAACAATGCCAAGTGTTTTGATGAACCGAATGGTTATTCCTGCCTTTGTACTGGTGGTTTCAGGTAAGGATGTTAGATGGAGATATTGTCAGAATTCACATAATGTTTAGAAAAATACCAAGTATTCTGCAAAGCCCAAGGCCAAGGTTTGCCCTTTCCCCGATTGGCCGAAATATAGACAGGAGAAAGAAATGTAACAAAAGGAGTAGTGTTTGCAAAAACATATAAAAGTAGTGACTACTAGATTTATTATTAATTAGCTGTTTCCAGGGTGGCTTCACTACCCTTGCAAGACAGAGATCCTGAAGCATCTTTCAGGTGCTTTCAACAACGGGTTGATCACAATGCCACTGTCACGGTCTGGCGTTCACGTTGCATAAAAACAGAGATTCAGTTTGTTTGGTGAAAAACGTTTATCTCTATCTAAGAAACTACGTGATAACCAGCATTAAATGACAATGATACAAAGGTAATCAAATCCAACTCAGTTCTAACCAAGTTAACACCAGCACCCATATATATATATATACACACACACATCATTACCCTACCCAGTTCCACCCACAACTCCACCCAGATGACACCCAGATGACACCACCCACCATCACCAATCACGCTCAGCCACACCCCCACTCAGTGTCATCATAGCCTCTTTCCTGGTTAACCGCATCCGAGCAAAAGAGTTGCATCAGAGTAGGCAGTTGCACCTGAGTAGAAGAGCCACATGCAGCTACAGGCTCAATTGACATCAGAGAGGCAACATCAACGTGGCAGCGTTAGTGGCGTGTAAGCATGGCCCAGCAGGCATGGTGATGGACAGGTTCCCCCTGGATGGAAGCTTGAGAGCTGACAGCCACCTGTGTAGATGTTTGTTTGAAATCTTATCCAACTTGTTTCAAGTAGCAGTGTGCAAAAATAGATGCATGTCACAGCATTCTCCTTCCACTATTGGTTGGACCATATTTTTATTTACTAAGGAAATAGCAGACAGCAAGTTGAACAACAAATCTGAGTTCCTGGGATGCAAAGTATATGATTAATTGAATTATGAGAAAATATTAATTGCATTTATACACCTGGGTGATGTCAACAGTGGTTTATGAGATGCCAAAAATGAGGGACCAATTTAGAACATTGGAATGATAAGGGAACACAGCCTCCTTCCAAGAATATATCAATTTCAATAGCTCATTCTGGCAATAAACTTATGTCCTATTGTATGCTTGCTTCATTCTAGTGGTCAGCTCTGTGAGATCCCACCTCATGGCTCCTTTCAGTCCAGTCCCTGTGAGAGAGTGGAGTGCCAGAATGATGCCAACTGTGTGGAGTTAGGCAATCGTGCCTTATGCCAGTGCCTTCCCGGCTTTGGAGGGCTCAAATGCGAGAAGCTACTGAGTGTCAATTTTGTGGATAGGGATACATACCTACAATTCACGGACTTACAGAATTGGCCCACTGCCAATATTACTCTGCAGGTAAAAGAGTTTTAAGTCTATGCCCCAACCCTCCAAGAAGAGGCATTATCTACTTTCCTGTACAATGTTGGTTTTCCTATCTGTCCTCCCCCCCCCTTCTATTCTCTTGTTCTCTGCAGGTCTCCACAGCTGAAGATAATGGGATTCTCTTGTATAATGGGGACACTGATCACATGGCGGTGGAGCTTTATCATGGCCATGTGCGTGTCAGTTATGATCCAGGCAGTTACCCTAGCTCAGCTCTTTATAGGTAGCTCTATCTTTGTTTTCTCATTCAAACTATGGGCAGTTTGATAGAATGTGAGCAAATTTGTCTGTATGACCCTATAATCTGCACACTGATTTTTGGGGATGAAGGGGAGATCAGGGTCCAACGATGAATGTCAAGCATTGATGTAGAAAGCAGAGTGATCTTAAGAGAGTGTTGAATGAATGTTGGTGATCAAGATTGTAGATGTTAAGATGTTGTGAATAGGATATGTACAAGAGCCTTTCTCATCCCATCTCTCTCTTTTCTCCCAGTGCAGAGACCATCAATGATGGACAGTTCCATACAGTGGAACTGGTAACATTTGAGCGGATGGTAAACCTATCTATCGATGGAGGTGATCCCATGACCATGGATAGCTTTGGCAAGGCCCACACTCTGAATTCTGAGGCTCCACTCTATGTGGGGGGTAGGACAGCAATCTCTGTTGGGGAACAGGGAAGCAATATCCTGCTGAAACCAGAGAGAGCATCAGTTCTTTCCAACACTTCCACACTTTTACAAGGAGGCTACCATATGGACTAGGAGGTTCTAATAATTCTTAGTTTGGACCATTTATACACTATCAATTGGGAGAAGGAGGAAGAGAAGGAATTCTTTCTTTCTCCTTTTCACAACAGATGCCAATATGTAGAGAATCAAGGAGATAAGAGGCCCACTGGCAGGTGGAACAAAATAGTATAATTGTCTGGGCTCAGTATTCCCTAAGTATCCCTGGCTTTAACATTTTTCTACAATATACTAGGCCAGCCTTCTCCAACTTGTGCTCCAAATAATTTATGAAGTTTATGAAATTGCAGTCCCAGCATATTTAAAGTATATCAGTTTGGGAAAAGCGGAGGCTGAGACTTTCAAAGTTTATTTCCTTCCATCAGTCATGTTCTTACTCACCAGCACTCTAATCTTCTTTTCTTCTTCCCTGCCTGATGTTGTTCCTATGGCCCTCTCTCATCAGGCATGCCAGTGGATGTGAATTCTGCTGCCTTCCGAGTTTGGCAAATCTTGAATGGTTCCAGCTTCCACGGATGTATCCGCAATTTATATATCAACAATGAATTACAAGACTTTACTAAGACTCAGATGAAACCAGGAGTTGTTCCTGGTTGTGAACCTTGCCGCAAGCTCTATTGCATGCATGGCATTTGCCAACCCAACACTGCTCATGGACCAATTTGTTACTGTGAGTCAGGCTGGACTGGGCCCCATTGTGACCAGCCCATTACCAACCCTTGCCAGGGACACAAGTAAGTACAAGTGTTACAATTCTTTTCTGCTACATCTGGGGAATTCCAACTTTTTGGGGAGGGGCACATGTGGAACAATGAGAACACTCATAGGACATCTGCCATAGGAACCATGCCTATTTGTAGCTGCTATGACATACGTGGCCAGTCACAAAATGTCCAGGACAGAAAAGAATCCTGGATATGCTCTATCTTCCCAGTGGGGCCTTTAATAATAGACTTTATGTGTGTGAAAAGAAAATGTGCTTGTTTCAGCCATCACATACCAGTTCAGCCAACAAAACCTGGAACATTTTGGTTCTGAGTTTTAAAAGAATAGATGCTACAGGTAGCTCCATTATCTTGTGGTATTTTAACTTCTAATTTCATTTGGTTTTAATTAGAAGAATTTATAAAGAAAATCAGGTGATCAAAAAATGTAGTTAGCACTAAGTGAAGTGTACAAGGGCATATTAGAGCCAGTTTGCTCTAATGGTTATAGGACCAGGCTAGAAAGCAGGAGACCATGAGTTCTAGTCCCATCTTAGCCATGAAAGCCAGCTGGATGATCTTGGGCCAGTCACTCTGTCTCAGTCCAACTCACCTCACAGGACTGTGCTATGACAAAAAATTAGGAGGAAGGTGTGTTTAATAGGTTTGCTGCCTTGAGTTATTTGTAAAAATAATAAAGGTGGGATACAAATATATACGGTAGATAAATATTACTGTTCATTGCTTACCTTGGCTTGAAACCATCCATGCAAATCAGGTATCTCATTACAATGCTGTGAGCAAAAACCATGTATTTAGAGTGTGTTTTCTCAAAGATTTATGTCATACATGGATCCCTAAGCTAATTGTCTCAGATTCAAGATAGTAGGGAAGAGTTGAAAAGAGATACTGGCTTATGTGTAATTACATGTATCTACCTAGCTTTATATCTCACTTTATCTTCAGGTGTGAACATGGAATCTGTATGCCTCTTGATGCACTTTCCTATAGTTGCCAGTGCCAAGATGGTTACAAAGGAGCCTTGTGCAACCAAGAAGTTGAACTACGTAACCCATGCAAGAGCTTGGAGTGTGTTCATGGTCAGTGCCAGATCTCAGATGCAGGAGAGGCCTATTGTGAATGCAACTCGGGATTTGATGGGGATCTCTGTGATCAAGGTCAGAAACATTTCTGTTTCCATATGTGTTGACCATTAATTACTAATGACACTAAGGGAATTTTCCTTCTATGCAAAAAGTTAGGTTCATAATGTTTGCTGGCAAGTCATATTATCCCAGTATTCTGTGAATGATAGAAACCTTATTCAGGAATCAACTTCCTCCTGGGAGTGAACATTCTAGCAAGTAAAATATTGCTTCTCTGAGACTATAGGAAAGCTTCTTGGCACATCAGCTGCAGCATAGGAGGTCCCTGTAAGCAGCTTCTTCCAACGATGGTGGTTATAAGTGTCTTGAATAATGAAGGAACATGAGCAATGCAGCCACAATTGAAAGGTTTAAAATCGAAAATAATTCTTTACTGTCAACAAAATTATATTTTCTATTTCCATTAGAGAACACAGAGGCATTTCCACACATCAACATTTTTTAGAAGTAAACAGTGCTTTTCTCTAAACTACTGGAAGGCATAACAAAATAAGTATGACAACAGATAGTAGAACATTATTTTAGCTGCCTTTCACTAGAACTCCCCATTTCATGATGACAATAAAAATGTCTGTTATATGATGACATTCTTAAAGTCATCCTTTTGTCTGACCTTTCTGTTTTCCCCAGAATCAGAGTGTCGGGGAGAGGCTGTGCGAGATTTCCATCAAGTCCAGCGAGGTTATGCCATTTGCCAGACGACACGCCCAGTCTCCTGGATGGATTGCCAGGGATCATGCCCAGGACTAGGCTGCTGTGGAGGACTGCGTCTTAAGCGCAAGAAATATACCTTTGAGTGCAGTGATGGCTCATCCTTCGTGGAGGAAGTGGAAAAACCTAGCAAATGTGGCTGTTCCCATTGCATGTAGTCTCCAGTGAGGGGCAGGCCATAGCCAGAGACCTAGGGGTGAGACCTGCCCTAGCAGAAGCCTTGGGAACAGTCTGGAATCTGAGCAGTTCCCTTATTATGGTCATGGTGGTTATTCAGGAAAGAAGAGACAAAGTTGTAGATAAAAGCGGTTTGTTTGTTGTTGTTTTTGCTGGCAAATCCAGCTGAACAGATGTATTTATATCCAGCACGGATTCTACCTGGGGCCACTGATTGGGCACACCATGGATTCTTATTGAAGATCTCTACAATTGTTTTTGCTGCCCAATGTAATGTCCTAAGTACCATGCCCATCCATGGGTCATGCCTGGCCTCAGGAACCAGTCATTTTGTATCTTTTGTATCTTAACTGGAATCTCCTAGCTGCCCCATGCCTTTTTTTCCTTCTGTTGGCCAGTTCTACTTTTTCTCTTATCAAGTAGCTTCTCTTATTCTCACTCTTAGTACCTGCTCATGGTAACTTCATCTTCTGTTTATGGGGCTAAATTGCAAGCAGTACAGTGACCAGGAGCAAAGGGAATATTATTACAAGACTAGAAAAGAAAAGAAAAATACTTAAGAAACTGAGGAAGGAATTGTTGCTGCCTACATCTTAATGGTTATAAGACACCGAGGAATAAAAACAGCTTAGACATGCAATTGCATTGTAGTCATTACTTGAAAGCTGCCTTCATTTATTAATAATTAAAAAAAACAGAATGACTGAATCACTGGCATTACTCTTGCTGTACTGTACTGTTGCAATTTGATGCTAACTTATTCAGAAGTAAAACCTACTAAATTTCATAGAATTTAATTTCTAAATAAGATTGTGATTACAAGAAGGCTAAAGAACCTGGGCTACAATCTGCAGGTCTGCTGACAGGAAGGAAAAGGACTACATCCAATTCTTGTTGCAAATTCTCCCAATTGCCACAATCATTTCTTTGAGTTTTTACTCTTATCAGTCTTCTATACCATAACATTATTTTTACTACATATCACTTGATTATTGTAACAAATAAGTTTGCACTGATGGAAGATGTCAGTTCTACTGCTGTCACCTATAGAATAACCTTATTCACACCAATCATTATTCATGGAAGAAAGATGAACGGCATGTATCTCTTGCACTCAGCTTATTGTATTATTTTTCAGCCCTGTAATAGGATGCAGCAGGCCTTCTCATAAAATAGAACACTTGTCCTTCTGTAAATGAGAGAGGAATGAGATTGGGACTTTGCTACATTCACTGGGAATAAGATAAGAGCGAGGATTTAAAATAAAATAAGATCCCTGCTTGAGAGAAGGCTTTTGTGGAGTACCTTAACTGCAGGAACAATTTGCTCAAGGTTTCCTATCAGTAAATGAATTCTGTTTGTACTACTTACAATTAGTTGACACATACAAGTAATACTAGTAGCTTTAAATTACGAAAACAAAGCAGATTTTCTGCATTACTAAAGACCCCAATTTTACAAAAATTGCCCCCCTCTCTCTCTTGCTCCTACACATACACTGATTAAACAATACACTTGCAGTTTATTTGCATAATTTATTTTGCTGCTGGTTGGGAAAAGCAAGGATATCTATTAGACATCATGGCTGCTAGTTCCAGATTATGTTGTGATTATTTTCTTTCATGTTGTAGCTAACTTTAAGGGATTCTAGAGCCAACAGCTTTCTAAGCTGATTTGTTTCTTGGCACATCGGTGGCCAAAATGACAGTTGAACTTTTCTCCGTTCATATTGTTGATGTATCTAGAGGCGTAGTTTGCCACTGCTTTTATTCTCACGATGCCAGAATCAAGAGAGTTGCTGCAACCTCGCTGGTGGTTACCTGGTCATAAGGCAGATGGCTTGGACTTTTAAAGCAGTCCCTATTCACCTTATCACAGTGCCAATTTTCTGTTGCATTAGCATTTTGTACAATTGTGTTCACCCCCAGTTCCCCATATCATCCTGACCTTGCCATTCATGATTGTTGACTCCTTTTTTATCATACTATATCCCACTTATATTGGAGCTAACCAGTATATCTGCGGGCTATCTCACTGTTCGCCCTTGTGGGTGCATCCTTGTCTTTCCATGTAGGAATTCTACTGATAGAAAATATTTATCCTTTTCCAGCTTTTGAAACCTCATCAGATAGCAGACATAAAAAATAACCCTGCTGAATTGAGAAATGCCCCCCTTTAATGCAGCATTTGTTTCTCATGGGGGCCACCCAAAGGCAACTAGATGCTTGGAAGTAGGAAATGGAGATACTGGATGCACCCTTCAGGCCATTGTTCCCTTGCAACATATATCTTAAAGGCCTGCTCCTGGTGCCCTGGAAGTAACCTTGGGATCTGACACTAATTCCCCGATACCTTTATAGCAGTGATGTTAAATTCTTTTAAGTCACCTTGAAGGCTTATTCAAATATTAAATAAGCTCATGGTAGGTATTATCCTGCAGCAGCCTCGCAAGAATGCAGTTATTAAGCAATCACAGTCTGATGCAAGTTTTGAGGCCTTAAACTCTACCAATGTTCTTGTTTCCAAGACAACCTCAGCCAGGTGTCTGTTGTTTGAAACTTACCACTTTTTTTTTTTTTTTACAAAAGGTTCTGCTGGAAAGGTAACTCCTTGGCACTAGCTTGAGAGCATGTGACACGTGCGATCTCAAGGTAACCGTTTCTAAAACATCAGATTTTATTGTACAGCAATTTCAGTAAGATACTCCCGGAGGTGAAATAGATTACTAGAAGTGTATGCATGGTGTTCCATTAAACTGGCAGTAATAAAGAAATAGCAGTAATAAAGCCATCTTCTACTTCCTGTGGGGATATGCAGGAAGCTAGGGAGTAATTACTCAGAGAGTTCTTGCAGAAGCTCCTTTTCAGGGTACATAAAGAGTTATCGCTCTGTATGAGCTTGTGCCTACATTCCCTGGCTTGCTTTGGGACCTGTGCTATTGCTTGGGTAACTGGAATAAAACTGAGGTTTATTCTGTTATGGCTGTAGAGACTTGCTAAAATTTAAATGACAACCAATTTCAGATTTGAATACATGATTTACAGAGGCATTTTAATTACTACCCTGCTTCCTAATATTTTTCATTTTTATTCTAGAAACCCTGCAAAAAGTTAATTGTATTTTTTTCTTACTGAGAAAGTGAAACTTTTGAACTTTTAGGATGACACAAAATATATATCTAGGGCTCTTGACTTTTTTAACGACTTCCTATTTCTAATGGTAACCATTAGAATCTACAGAATATCATGTCTGAATTTGTACACCCTGTCTGCCAATGCAATACATAAGACATATGTTTGAATAAACAAAGTGAAATTTGATCATGCTTACATGCTTAAATTTAGCTGATTATGGCCAATTCACCCTCCACCCTGTATATAGACTTAGCAATGTAGGCTTCAACTCTCAAAATTTTCATCTAAAATATCCTTTGGTCATAATATGAGTCAAAGCCTGGAATGGATTTATTTGAAATCAACAAAAAATATTCTTTTGTCTTCTTCCCTAAGGATTCCCATGACATTTGGCACTTATAAGACTGTCAAAAGGACAATTCCTTAATTCAGATTTAGTACTGACTTTTTAAACTCGTGAAGCAATGGTGTCTCACTAACCTCTGCACTTGAAAATTGTACTAAGCTTTGTATTAACATTATTGAAAACCATACTTTCGGTGTCCCAACAGTCTAATCAATGTCACACCCGAATGATCATGTGAACTACCTTGCATATGTAAGCTAACACTGCTTCATACAGAGTATACCTTCTTTAGAGCAGCAATCTTGTTATAGATTTTGAAAAAGTAGTTTGTGATTTTTTCACATGGGAAGATAACATTAATTCAACCAGAGACATAAACTAACCATCTGTCGGTAACAAAATACATGTCATCTTCCAACTCCTATAATGGTTGTCCAAGTAAAAAATGCTGTGTTCCGTTTTCTAAGAAAAATATCAAAATTATATGATGGAGGAATACTTTTTTGTCACCCAATCCCTGCTGCTTTTTAATAGGAAATAAAGAGAAATGGATTCGGTGGATTAAACATATTTACTTCAATAAGACTCTCTCTCTCCTTTCTACCCAAAATAGGAAACAATAGACTGAAAATTCCAGTCAATAAAATCAAATTTGTTTTTCCTCTGCCTTCTAGTTATACAGCATCTATTATATGTGTGTAGGCATGCATGTATGCATACCAAGTTGATGTAGCAGTTAAGGTACCAGGCTGGAAGTCATCTGTACCAATCTTTCTCCACCCTTCGAAGATGACAGTGGCAAACAACTTCTAAAGATGTAGCCAAAAAAACCAATGTGTGGACTCATCCGAGCAGTTTCACGAGTCAGGAATGACTTGAAGCCACTATATACACAGGTGTATCATTGCAGCACCTTTCACAAATCATCTTTGCAATAGGTTTTCATACATTCCTGCTTTTGTTGTTTGATCTATGCATGCAATAGATTTGCTCTTTTTAAAAAAAGTTTTTAAATATAATTTAGGCAACATTTATTTTTCTACTTGGCTTTGGTCTCATAAGCTGAAAAGATCTTGGAAAACTGTTACAAATATATTTGGGGAAACAACTACTTCTACATTATTCTTACAAAAGGAAAAAAAGGAAAAATAATGTGCCCTTTTTGAAACGTGAAAACAATAGGAAAATATTTGCATCATTTGGACATAAATTGCAAAAATTAGCATACTGAATATTCAATATGGGAGGATTTTATTACATTCTGCTCTCATTTTAGACCAAAGTGAAACATCAGCATGAGAATTATGAGAGAGGCCATTTCTGGCTTAGTTTTTCTACTACCACTTAGCCTTCTGACTTAACTATTGACATATATTATATTGCCAAAAGTATTCGCTCCCCTGCCTTTACTCGCATATGAACTTACTATGACATCCCATTCCTAATCCATAGGGTTCAATATGATGTCGGTCCACCCTTCGCAACTATAACAGCTTCAACTCTTCTGGGAAGGCTGTCCACAAGGTTTAGGAGTGTGTTTATGGGAATTATTGACCATTCTTCCAGAAAGCATTTGTGAGGTCACACACTGATGTTGGATGAGTTTACGTGGCCTACCACTTCGTGGCTGACATTCCCAAACACTTCCACGTTCTTATAATACAGCTGACAGTTGACTGTGGAATATTTAGGAGCGAATAAATTTCACGATTGGATTTGTTGCCCAGGTGGCATCCTATCACAGTTCCACGCTGGAATTCACTGAGCGACCCATTCTTTCACAAATGTTTGTCTGCATGCCTAGGTACTTGATTTTATATACCTGTGGCCATGGAAGTGATTGGAACACCTGATTCTAATTATATGGATGGGTGAGCAAATACTTTTGGCAATATAGTGTAACTCTGAAGGGAGAGGGAGAGGTGGTTTACTCAGGAGCAATGAGCTGTAAGACGTTAGCAATTCTCTCTTAACTCTTGACCAATGTTCAGTATGGAGATAGGAGTAGTGACATATAAGACGCTTCATATAGGCAGCAGTGCCAAGGGGGGGGGGGGGGAGATATCATCTACATACAGGTAGTCTTCAACTTTATTCAACTTACAATTCATTTAATGACTGTTTGAAGTTACAACAGCACTGAAAAAGTATGTTATGACCCTTTTTTACATTTACAAGTGTTGTAGCATCCTTGTAATCACGTGATCAAAAATCAGATGCTTGGCAACTAATGTTTATGATGGTTGCAGTGTCCCGCAGGACACTGCTTCTGACAAGCAGAGTCAGGTTCACTAACAACTATGTTACTAACTCAACTGCTAAACACTCAGTACTAGGTCATAAAATGGGGCAGAGCTCACTTAACAACTGCCTCACTTAGCAACAGAAATTGTGAGCTCAATTGTGGTCGTAAGTCAAGGACTACCTGTAGTTGCACCTTCTAGAATTAATCTAATGAAGTGGTGGATCAAATTGGAAAGCACACTCAAGTTTTAAAAAAAAGCAGAGGAAAAAAGGTGACATTGAGACAGGTCTTGAGTAAGCATACTTTGAGCCAGTCTTCCTTGATCTAGTATAGTCAAAACATTTTGACTATAACTTCCAGAATGTCCAAGCAGCAGAGTCAAAAGCTCTGCTTATATTCAGCTTTCCTCAGGATTTTGATAGCTATTTCTTCACTACTACAATTGTCTCGATAATCTCCACCAATAAAATGAAGCCAGGTGAGAGATGGGGCTGTTTTAATTTCATATATTAAATTGGGGACTACAATTAACAAAAAATATTATCAAGCACTTCTGATTTTTCAAAGATTCAATATCTGGTGTATTCACTGCAACTGGTATCTCAAAATAGCCACTGAAATTGATAAATCAGCTCAGTCTTTCATCAATCGGCTGGAGAAAAAAACTTGTGAAACCCTAGTGAATTGTGGACCAGGGCTTAAAAATCTTTATATTAAATTTCATCACACCACACCAATGCTGACATTTTAAAAAGTTTAATAAGCTGCAATAAAATAAGGACCTATAGAGTACATAGAGTCCGTCACAATGCATCAAAGAAAGCAAGCACAGAAAAAGGATAAAAGAATTAAATCACTTTCCATTGGTTAGTCAAGGAAATAAAGACACACACAAGTATGAAGCTATCACAATTGATACAATTTCAATGGTAAAATAGCCCTAGCCATTACAGGTTTATGAATTACTGGAAAGCAACTGAGTATTACCTTTTATATACATTTAAAATGTTCTTCAGATGAGGTATATAACCATTATCTAATGACACATTTTAACCAACAATACACAACAGACACATTCTTCTCCTAACATCACAGCATTTTCCAGTGCCCTGAAGAGAAGAAAAGGATATACAACCAAACCCTTCCAAAAATGCTACTTATCGTATGTAGGGTCTGGATGACAATATCAGGCTGGTCAAACATGGGGAGGAGAAATCCCCATACATGATTCTTGAGATGGGATAGAAAGGACTGCTTTGGATAAAGAAATGAAAGGAATATAAATTAATGCATAGAATATAAAATTGCCAAATACAATTGTTCACTTGTTGAGTGCAAGACATTGATGAGGGCTCATTGAACTTTCCCCCCAAGTTTTCAGGTATGCTATTGGAAACTAAAATGATTGCAGAAGGTTAGAAGCCTGCTCCCTATACTAAACCTCCTGTAGCAACTTTGTAAGAGAAGTGAAGACATTAACAACAAATACAGACAGGAGTTAAATTTTTGGACAGCAGAAAGTAGATGCAAGAATTAGCAAAAAGGAGCTACCTATAGGATTATGCCTTAAGGCAGGCAACATATAGGATTATGCTTTAAGACAGACAACTAATAAATTTCCAGAAAGAAGAATGGAGCAAGCATTTTCAACAGCCAAAAGCACATGAAAACCACACATTTAGGAATATCCACACAATCCCATCAAAATAATTATCAAATAAAAGAGAATGCTATCCTAATAGCATAGTTTGACCTAAGGAGTGTTAAGAAAGAGGAACTAGGGAAGATAAAAGTATGATCCAAAGAAATAAAATAAAAACAATTTCTAGAGACCCCAGAAAAATGGGACCTAGCTCAAAGCAGCAGCTGAAGATTTGGAGTAAGAATAAGAATTGACAAGAATCAGCTGCAAAATAATAGAAAGCACCCAACATTCCCCTTA